CCCACACCCTCGATTCTTTATAATTTGTTAATTGCGACGCACAATTTTTCACTAAATTCAGTGACTGATGCTGGATTAGCATCAAGAATGACTAATAAAAAGAAAACAATGTAAAAATAGGATGTCAATGGGCTTTATTTGACTCACGTTGTCCATCAACAGTGACATGGGAACCAAAAGCTTTGCTATTCTTCTCAAACTTCGCTCCAAGTTCTCTCAGACGAGTTTCAACAAGAAATGGAATAGCATCAGTCGTTTTGACTTGTGCTTCTTCCTCGTTACTAAATGATGTTGCTCATCGACCAGTAAAAATTGATTTACCATCGGCATCTTTGACTCCAACTTGAACACGTCTATAAGAAATTAACAAACAATGTATTTGTTGTGATCACTTACGTACCGAGAGCTACAGGACCATGACAGATTGCTGATAGAATTTTACCTTGATTCCAAATGGCTTCTGCCAATTTAATATTGGCTTCATCTTCTGGCAAATCAAAACAGGATCCATGACCACCGACATCAAAATACAGCGACATAATCATTTGGATTGACTTTACTTAGTTTTTTTGTATTCTCATATCCTCCTTGTTTTGCCTGTTCATCGGCAAGGAATTGAACACAGATAGAATCGTTCTTCGATTTATCAATTGAAGAAGGAACCAATGGTACTTTGGCACCCCTAGGACTAGCCCAATCAATTTTAAAATAAAGTTCAATCGCATAGTATGGATGAGCAGCCTAGATATAGATTTGCAAGAGAAATAAAATTGATCGAGAGAATATCTACAAACTTCAGGTAAATACTATCCGGTTGGATGTCCACTGAGCAGTTTATCGTGAGACGTGAGCATAAACAAAACTTTTTTTTGCGTCATACTTGTACGATACAATATGCATGCTGGCTCTTGATTGCCGTGCAGCAAATGAAATGAAAAATAAGAAAGAGAAAGAAAAATGCGAAGAACGGTAGTTAAACATAACTATATGTTACAGTCTCGGTAAAAAAAAAGATTCAGCCTTGTTAATGTTCTTCTCTCTTTGATTTATTTTTCAGTATCCTACTTCATTCTACTTCTACTGAGCTTTTTCTTTCGATATTTTTACTTATTGTGGAAGTCAATCTTTCTTTGTATGAATCACAATATGTGTTAGAGTCTCATTTTTTTATACCAAAAAAAAACACTCGAATGAACAATTTTACTATTTGAAAGTGAATGTATTAGCTAACGATTCGTATAAATATTTCATCTTTCTTATTTTTCTTCAATCATTGTATCTATGTATTTGAGAGACACTTCCATTATAGCTATTGTCTCTTTTTCTTCTTAATTGATAGCTGTTACTTTCTTCGATTCAATCAATATCAGACTATGTATCTATGACATATGTCACCAGAGAATGACAAAAGTAACACGAATCTGTCAGATCTAGATTCTCTTGATATTGAAATGAGACAATACTATATAATTGAATATTAAAAATATCGAACGTAGATATAAATAAACACTACTTGAACTATTGCCGTAGAATGTCCATGATGAAAATAATATAGAAAAAATTACATGCAATTTTTAAGTAAATGTTGATTAGAAAATTTGTGATTCTGATTCAACATATGATGGTTCAATCTGTGATTGTGGAAGAATGATTATCTAGAATGAATGAAACAAAGCTCGGACAATAAATATTGTTATAAATCACTTGTTATTAGCTAGTCGATAGAAGTTGAGACAAGAATGTAAGGCTTAAAACTTTGGTTTTTTAAAATTATTCATTGATCGAAAAAGCCCATAAATCCAGTCACAAATCTGTATTAGTTGAGAATTGAATTGAAATCTAAGTTAATGTCGAAAAAACTAACAAAGAAATTTAAAAATATAATCGAAGTCAATACTTAAAAATCATCATGGTTTTTGTGCATCTGCAATATGTTTTCGAAAAACATACAAGTGTGGATGATCCGACAGCGGAGAATGTGGTGCGATGTTTACTGTACGTTCGAAAATCGAGGGTGTGAGTGTGGATGTGGGTGCAGGTGAATACAAGACAACATTCACATCCACACCCACACTCTAGTTATTCTTTCTGTTAGAATAATCTTTGCCTCTTGATCGTCTTTGCAGATAGTACTTAATTCAATTTGTTTGACATTTAAGAAAAACCATAGTTACTTACAAAGACGAGACAAAAGATAAAGAAAAAATATTATAAATAGTTTCAGAATAGAGCTTTCTAGAGGTATTTTCAATGTTTCTTTCATATTTATTTAAAGACTAGAAGAAAAGTAAAGTTTTAGATTTACAAATATTGTATGATTGTCTCTCAATCACTTCTTTTCACTAGTTTGACCCAAACTTCGTCTGGTGCAATGACTGCCCGTTCACGGATGTTAAATTTGCTTTCGAGATGTTCACCAGGCAGAAGCGAATACTCGCGAAGCAGTCGCACCAATAGCATCTTCATCTCAATTAATGCAAAGCGCATGCCAATACAATGTCGTGGTCCCGCTCCAAACGGTAGATAAGCCATCGGATGACGTTTTGTTTCATGACGTTCGGGAAAGAAAATGTACGGATCTTCAGGACCCCAAAGATCGTGATCGTAATGAACTGAATAGACATCAGCATGCACTAAGGTACCTGAAAAAGATAAAAGACAGGTAATTTGGGAAGCTATTTTTTGATAAAAATTATTATTAAGTCGATGCAAAAGAACAAACCTAACTGGTTTTCTCAGTTTAGCTTCCCCTTACACAGATATGCTCATAATTTCATATACAACTGTCATAGATCAACAAAAGTTTTTTTTTATAATACATGTAAGAATTTCAAAAGGAAAACTTTGTAGATTATAATACAATTCTTATGGATTTTCTGATGACTTAGAAAAAGATCGAAGTGTTTCGTACCATAAAAATATATCGTTACCTTTTTCAATTTTAATTCCTTGGACGATCGTATCTTCAGAGGCACTTCGTTGAACGGCTCCATTTGCAATGGGATACATTCTTAAGACTTCGGAAACAAACATGTCCATATAAGGCATCTGCGCAACTACGTCATAATCGGGATATTCCGTTGTTTCTTCGTCGGATCTATCACCATTGCCCAGTGGAAGTTGGTCGATTTCAGTCTGAAGTTTCTGGACAACTTCTGGATGTCTAGCAAGTTCATACGTTGCATAGGCCAAAGCAGTTGATGTTGTTTCATATCCTGCCGCCATGAAGACAAGGATGTTGTTGATAATTTCTTTTCGAGTTAGCCGATAGTTTGCCTTGCTGCTGTCCTGGATTTCATCCTAGAAGAGAAATGTATTTATAATGGACATATAACTATCTTCAATCCCTCTAGCAAAATCGAAAATTTTTTATTTTTAATAGTAATTTTTCTTGGAGGTCGTAATAAAAGTTTTATTATGGTTTCTTCTGTCATTCTAAAGTTTTAACAATGATGGAAACGCTCTCGTATATCTCATTGTACTCAATTTTATATGCCAAGTCCGAATGAAATATTTCCAATACTGAGTGTTACAATAACTGTGTAGTACTCTAATCGTTCTTAGAATAACTATTTTTTGTCTTTTACAGCAATCTATATTATAAAGATCTCCTATCCAAAATTTCGTTTACAAAAGTACAAAGTAATTACTCATCAAAAGTATCGTGAATCAATTCAACCATACAAGATCTCAGGAAGATACTTTTTAAAATTTGATAGATTTTACTTACATTAATTGGCTCTTCAGTCATCACTTGTAACATTAATTGCAGAAGATCGACTCGTGAGGTAGGCGTCTGCTGTCGCTGCTCGATAATTGGGTGTAGTCGATTGAGGAGCCACACACCTGGTAGTTCAGGCAACTGTTTCTCTGATATTAAGGGTAGAAGATGCATATTGATGAAGGCTCGTGCAGCGTTGATGCCAAAAAAGATTTTACCAATGATATTTTCTATCTCAGGCACAAGTTGAGCAAATTTGAAAAACCTATTCGACCTAATGCTACGAGCAAAGATCTCCTCCACTTTCTTGAAATATATATTATTTGGATTGTTTTGTAAATCAGTGTCGATTCCAAATGCACATCGACCTAAATGAATATCAGAAATGATAGCAATCAAAACGTCTTTTTAGCTTACAAAATTTTCATCTTTTCTGTGTTGGAAACATACCTGGATATACTTAAGAGCATTTTTGGCATGTCTATGACATAATTTTATGGCAGAAAAAGGAACCCAAAATTCATAGACTACAAAGGAATCTCAATCATTCTCTATCTTTGTCTTGGAGGAAAAGAATACGCGAGGATAGTATGCTTACATATAACGTCCATTGTCATTCGCTTATAGTATAAGTAGATATTGAATTCCCTGCCGCTTCTTACATGATCGGTTAATTTTTCCATTACATTACTGATACATCCATTGATAAGAGGACTCATCATTTTTAGTTTAGCTGCAGTGAACGTTGGATTTATCACGTGACGATGCCGACGCCATTTTGAGCCTGATGAAGTAAAGACGTTTTGAATTCTATTACCTGCGAAAACGCCCCTCCGGGCATGAAAAGAGAAAAATTGCTTGATGAAAACTTCTTGAAGAAAATCAGGATCGCTAACAACAAAGGTTGGAACAGATCCTTGATAAATTCCATATATCTTGCCATATTGTTTTGTCCAGCTTTCAAGCTGACGGTGAAAGGATGCAGCATTCCACAATGTTTTAAAATGACCAAAGAAAAAACGGAAAGGTGGCGTGGGAATATTGCGCCGAGTAAAGTATTGATAACGTTGCCGCAGTAGAAAAAGGTAATAGGTTGTAAGACCAATGAATACGAGAAGCAGAATTATGGATAAAGCTAACATTTTATTTTTTGCTTTAGTAACACCGATGAAGAAAATAATGTTAAAAAACAAAATTGCGTTTCTTTATATAGATTGATGACAGACAAGCTTTTTCTTGTTCGTAATACCTTAAAACTTAAAGTACGTTTGATAACGAAAGGCTACGTTGAATCATACACATCTTTTCGTACTTTTGGGATGCGAACGGAGGATATATGTTGAGTTCTTTCTTGTTTTCATTCCTCGCCGTCCTTGATAAGTAAAAAAAACCACCTACAGTCAACATATTCAGAGTGCACACTCTCATCGTCCTCGTTCGCACTATTGTGATAAGACGTACTTTTTTCTTTTATAATTCAAGTATATATACAAATTGTAGATGCTCTTATGCTGAGTTACACGAAGATTTATTTATTATCACGCGTGGCTCATCATGAATGGTCACACTTTACATTTCATAGTTCAATCACTCAATATGCTTCATTAAAAAAAAACGAAGTCGGATTCTTATTATTATGTAAAAATGAGATTATATCGAGTATTTTATGATTTTATTTTCTTAGCATCATTCAGTTTTTCATCGTCTATATTAATGGTGATCATTGGATTAATTACTGTACGAAATATTCGTTTAGTACGTGCTCGAGTTATTGCAATTAAGTACCACTGTTGGTCAATTACATCGTGTAAAGGAATCATTAGATGACTTTAACAACAAAGTCAGTTCTGTAATTTAATCTGTTCGATAACTTTGAAAGACAAAGCTATGTAATGCTGGGGTGTGGGTCTGGGTCTGGGTGGGTGTGGGTGTGG